AGAGCGAGCCGACGATGGATCTTGGAGAGTTTCGTACAGCCTAGTCGATTCATTACAGTCCATACAAAATGTATATTATATTCACACCACAAACCCAATCCTAACAAAGGAATTTGTGTGAATCCAGGAGCTTAATCCATCCATTCTCTTCATCTCAACTATCCACCTTCATTGAATTAAAATTGTAAGATGATTCCCTTATTTGCCCTGAAATTAAAAATGTAATTACCAAGCAGGGTTTTTGTTATTATTTGCTATTGAGGTGTAACAGACACACGGACGAATAACAATGTAAATTAATTAAATCGACTTGTTTATATAGGTATATAACGATATCAAACCCTTAAAAAAATATTACGTACTATTTTATCAAGTGATACTCCGGCATATTTAGGAGAGAATATCTGAAATTGTATACAGCCTTACCATATTAGCGGATTTAGAAGGTTGAGTGTTCACCGCCGTCAGATGCGACTTAATAGGACCTATATTTTAGAGAACCTTGAACGCTTCCACCTTTTAGATCAGTATATATTTCTTGATATTATTTTGTGTCAATAATATATGTTCGGAAATATATTCTTACACGTCAGTTCTCTTCCTACCATTCTTATGGTCTATATGAGGTGGAGGACCAAACCATCGTATAGCTATCTCTTTCACTGCTCAGACTTTTGTCTAAGAGATTGTATGTACTTCTTATAATAAATATGTGTGAGTGTGTATATATATATATATATATATATATATATATATATATATATAGAGAGAGAGAGAGAGAGAGAGAGAGTGAGAGAGATTGCATAATGCCTTTTTTTTTTTTTTTTCACAAAACACACCCACGCAGTACATATGTTTGCCATATATATAGGTGTTGCACTTGGCTTCCCAAAGAAGCCACAAATGAAATCTTTCCATGTAAGCTAAATATGGTTATGTCATGGATGACATACACATATTGTGGGCCCCACTTCCATTATATATATATATATATATATATATATATATATATACATAATATTCCCCCTTGGGGTCCACAATACTACACTAAGAATATGCCTCGTTAAAACCTTGTTAAGGAAAATCCAGTAGGACAAAACCCTAGCGAAGGAAAAAGAATACAATATTCTTATGTGTTTGAATATGGTATTGCATAGATTTAAAACTGTCTCATTAAAATCTTGCCAGGAAAACCCAGTGAGACAAAATCTGGACGAAGGAAAAAGAGTCAGCACGCCAATACCTCTTTGATGAATTGCTCCCCCTCATTAGATCAACCCTGAAGATCCTTTAGTTGACGCAGTCCAATGTTGTGCACCAGCTTCTTGAATGTTGTAGTTGGAAGCGTTTTAGTGAATAAATCTGCTAGATTTTCACATGAACGTATCTTCTGAATATCAATATCACCCTTTTTCTGCAGTTCATGTGCATAAAAGAATTTTGGTGAGATGTGCTTGGTCCTGTCACTTTTAATATACCCTTCTTTCATCTGTGCAATGCATGCCGCATTATCTTCATATAATATTGTTGGACTTTCTTTTATTGATGAGAGACCACATGTTGTTCGAATATGCTGGATCATTGATCTCAACCAAATGCATTCTCTGCTTGCCTCATGAATTGCGAGTATCTCAGAATGATTTGAAGAAGTGGCAATTATTGTCTGTTTCATCGATCGCCATGATATAACAGTGCCGCCACAGGTAAACACATACCCTGTTTGTGAATAAGCTTTATGTGGGTCAGAAAGATAGCCGGCATCTGCATATCCAACTAATGGAGACTTTGGTGCCTTCGAATAAAACAAGCCCATATCAGTTGTGCCACAAAGATATCGCAATATGTGTTTGATTTCATTCCAGTGTCTGCGAGTTGGTGCAGAACTGTACCGTGCTAATAAATTGACTGGAAAAATTATATCAGGTCTTGTGCAATTTGCAAGATACAAAAGAGCACCAATCGCACTGAGATAGGGCACTTCAGGGCCAAGGAGTTCTTCATCATCTTCATGAGGACGAAAATGATCTTTCTTGATGTCCAATGATCGGACAACCATTGGGGAGCTCAATGGATATGCTTTATCCATATAAAAACGTTTCAGAATCTTTTCTGTATATGTTGATTGATGGATGAGAATACCGTTCGAAAGATGTTCAACCTGCAGCCTAAGGCAGAATTTTGTCTTTCCGAGATCTTTCATTTCAAATTCTTTCTTTAAATATGTGGCTGTCTTTTCGATCTCATCCAATGTTCCCACAAGGTTCAGATCATCAACATATACTGCAACAATAACAAAACCAGATTCTGATTTGTTAATAAATATGCATGGACAAATATGACTGTTCACACACCCTTCTTTGAGTAAGTAATCGCTGAGGCGATTATACCACATTCGTCCAGATTGCTTCAATCCATATAAGGATCGTTGTAATTTTATTGAGTGCATATTACGTGGTTTTGTTTCAGGCATTGTAAATCTTTCTGGGATTTTCATATAAATATCACTATCTAGTGATCCATATAAATATGCTGTAACCACGTCCATTAAATGCATATGCAATCTTTCTGTGACTGCTAAATGTATTATGAATCTAAAAGTAGTTGCATCAATCACAGGGGAATATGTTTCCTCATAATCAATACCAGGTCTTTGTGAGAAACCTTGAGCTACAAGTCGGGCTTTATACCTCACGATTTCATTTTTCTCATTACGCTTTCGTACAAACACCCATTTGTACCCAACAGGATTAACACCCTCAGGTGTCTGGACTACTGGTCCAAATACTTCACGTTTAGCTAATGAATTTAGCTCTGCTTGTATCGATTCTTTCCATTTTGGCCAATCATTTCTTCGTCGACATTCTTCGACGTTTTGAGGTTCCGGATCCTTATTTTCAATATCAAGAGCAACAAGATATGAGAATATGTTGTCGACAACAATTTCATTTCTATTCCATCTCGTTTCATAATTTAATGAGATCTCATCATTTTCAGGTACCTTTGCCTCATCAAGATCATGTGCCTCATCAAGGGCCACATCATCATCTGTTGCTTTTGCCTCATCAATATTTATTATTTCATCATTTTTAGGTACCTGAGACTCATCAAGAGCATCTGCCTTATCAAAGGCTATTATCTCAGATTGATCAATAATATCTGTTGCTCTTTTTGTGGCCTCTTCAGGAGTGCCAACTTTTCTTTGTGATTTCCTCTTACGAGAAACAATATCTTTTGCACCAACTGGTCTACCACGCTTCAGGCGTGTTTTAGATGCATTTGCTGCATTACTGACAGAAGGTCCCTCAGGGATAGCAATTCATGTTGGCACATTTGCAGCTAGTATATGTGATTTTATCACTTTCTTTGTATCAGTAAATGCATCAGGTAATTGATTTGCAACATTTTGCAAATGAATGATCCTCTGAACTTCTCGTTCACATTGGTTTGTACGAGGATCAACATGAGACAATTTCAGGGTATTCCAAGTAAGATCACGTGGCTGTTATACCTTTTCTCCCCCTAATGGTAGGAAAACAGTCTCATCAAAATGACAGTCAGCAAATCGTGCTTTGAAGACATCACCTATCAGGGGTTCAAGATATCTAATAATAGATGGAGAATCAAAACCAACATAAATTCCAAGTCTATGTTGAGGACCCATTTTAGTGCGTTGGGGTGGTGCAATTGGAACATATACAGCACAACCAAAAACTCGTATGTGGGAGATATTTGGTTGTTGACCAAAAATAAGTTGTAATGGTGAGTACTTATGATAAGCAGTTGGTCGTATACGAACTAATGATGCAGCATGCAATATGGCATGACCCCAGGCAGAAACAGGTAATTTTGTTCGCATAAGTAAAGGACGACCAATTAGCTGAATTCTTTTAATAAAAGATTCAGCCATACCATTTTGAGTATGAGTGTGTGCAACAGGATGTTCATCATAAATTCCAACTGACATGCAATAATCATCCAAAGCTTGAGAAGAAAATTCAGCGGCATTATCAAGACGGATTGTCTTAATTGGGTAATCAGGAAAGTGTGCCCGTAATTTGATGATTTGAGCAAGAAGTTTAGCAAATGCAATATTCCGAGTAGAAAAGAGACAAACATGTGACCATCGTGTTGATGCATCAATTAAGACCATAAAATAACGAAATGGTCCAAATGGTGGATGGATTGGCCCACATATATCCCTATGAATTCGTTGTAAAAATGGAGGAGACTCAACAATGACTTTTGAAGGGGATGGTCTAATAATCAACTTACCTTGTGAGCAGGTGGTGCATAGATGATTATTTGGTAAGATGATTTTTTGTTCCTTTAGTGGGTGACCATGTGAATTTTCAATAATTCGACGCATCATTGTACTCCCTGGGTGACCAAGTCGATCATGCCAAAGTATAAAAAATTTTGGGTCACAAGATTTTTTATGGATCACAGCATTTGACTCAATTGTTCTAATGGTTGTATAATATAACCCAGAAGAGAAAATAGGGAGTTTTTCTAATATCAGTTTCTTACCTGAGGTAATGGAAGTAATGTAGAGATATTCGACATTTCTTTCATTTGCAGTCTCAATATGATACCCATTACGACGCAAGTCTTTAAAACTCAGCAGATTTCTCCGAGATCTTGTAGAATATAAGGCATCATTGATTTGTAATCTAGTTCCATGTGGTAAAATGATGTTGGCTCGTCCGGAGCCTTCAATCAAGTCGGTGGGACCTGATATGGTACTGACACTAGCGTCTGTCAGAGTTAAGTGGGAAAAATATTTTTGATCTCGAAAGATTGTATGTGTTGTTCCACTATCTGCAAAACATATATCTTCACCATTTATTTTGGAACTAGTCAGATCCATTCCTATTCATGCAAATTTCTTTATCAGAAAAAAACTTTTATAACAAAAACCTTTAATACAAACTAGAAAATAAAAATGTTAATACAAGGACAACAAAAAGCATAGTAGACAGTACATAAAAAGAAACATAAGATTAACTGGTGTGGACATTTCCATCACCAATCAGGAAGTCTGTCCTTTCATCACGATCATCAAAAAAATCTGATACATCCAGATTGGTGATGTTAACTGGCTCATCATGATTAATGAAATTCATTTCCAGATTTGTGGTGTCAATTGGCTCATCATGATCAAGGAAATTCATTTCCTTTTGTTTTCCCTTTTCTTTTATTGAGGCTTGATACAGATCAGCCAGATGCTTCGGTGTACGACAAATACTTTGCCAATGCCCTGTCATGCCACACCGATAGCAAGTATTATCATGAGCCTTGGAAGGTTGAGCCACATCTTTCCCTTTTACTTGTCTCATTTCATTATGATCTTTCCTTTGAGGATATGGTGTGGATCTCTGATTGCGAAAATGTGAGGATTGATATCCTTCACGATAATAAGAATGATTTCTACCACGACCATATTCATTATTGTGGTAGTTATTTTTGCCACGACCATATTCATTTCTACCATCACGACCACGTCCACGTCCGCGTCCACGACCACGGGATGAGGCAACATATGTTTCTGGGATCGGTGTCGATCCAGTTGGACGGGACTGGTGGTTTCTCAATACAAGTTCATTATTTTGTTCTGCCACAAGCAAACATGATATCAGCTCTGAATATTTTTTAAATCTACGCTCTCAATATTGTTGTTGCAAGAGTACATTCGAGGCGTGAAATGTGGTGAATGTTTTTTCTAGCAGAAGTTCATCGGTAACAGTATCACCACATAATTTCAATGTAGAGCTGATTTTGAATAGGGCAGAGTTATATTCAGCCACAGTTTTGAAATCTTGCAACCTCAATTGCAGCCAATCAACCCTGGCCTTTGGGAGGATAACTATTTTTTGATGATCATATCTGTCTTTCAAATTGTTCCACAAACAAAGTGGATCTCTTTCAGTGAGGTATTCATTTTTCAGTTCCTTACTAATATGGCGCCGGAGAAAAATTATGGCATTTGCTTTATCTTACAATGATGCATCATTCTTTTCTTTAATTGTGTCTCCAAGGCCCATGGCATCCAAATGGATCTGAGCATCCAGAATCCATGATAAGTAATTTTTGCCAGAAATATCCAGGGCCACGAATTCCAGCTTTGTCAAATTTGACATTTTCAAAATAACTAGATGTGACAACAATATAAAAATATAATTTAGCATAGTATATAAAATAAAATGACATTAAATGAGATAATAACATAATATAAATTATTTAAATAATAAAGGTGGTAAATCCAGCCATAATAAATAAATTAGTAAACAATAAAAGCGGTAAAACTGGCCCATAAATCATTAAATAATAAAGGTGGTAGAACCGACCATAGTGTAAGCACATATATCATTTAAGTGAACAAATTGATTTTATGAATAATAATCCATAATTAACATTTCCTTACCCTTTGGAGTCAGAAATATTATTTTATCCGATAAAGCAAACCAACCCAACAATCTATCAAAACTAATATTACAAAATAGATATATAGTTGGGATAGAAAGAGGGAGAGAAAGCTTCTTCTTCAAATCTCAGATGGATAGAGCTCGTACTGATAACGTATAATAAATATGTGTGAGAGTGTATATATATATATATATATATAGAGAGAGAGAGAGAGAGAATGACGAAGAGAGATAGAGAGAGATTGCAGAATGCCTTTTTTTTTTTTTTCACAAAACACACCCACGCAGTACATATGTTTGCCATATATATAGGTATTGCACTTGGCTTTCCAAAGAAGCCACAAATGAAATCTTCCCATGTAAGCTAAATATGGTTATGTCATAGATGACATACATATATTGTGGGCCCCACTTCCATTATATATATATATATATATATATATATATATATACATAACACTTCTCTTATTCTTACCAAGTTTTAACCAAAATAACTTTGATATTTGTCCCAACTCAAGTTCGTTACTCAACTATGAACCAAAGGTCCATACAATCTTTATTTCTTTCAGCCGTCGTCAGATTTTTTGAATAGAAAATTGTATATATAATATTTGATAAGCTAAGGGCTCGTTTGACATGCGTTTTGCTTTAGGCGTTTTATTATTTGCTAAAACAAAAATAGTGTATTGACAAAAATCGAAAGCACGTTTGGGAACGATGTTTTGTTGTAGAAATGTCAAAAACTAAAACATGAAAAATATGTTTGGTAAGTCATGCGTTTCAAAAATTTTGAAAACAAAACTTGTTTGGTAACTCCAACTGTTGTAAAAAAAAAATAAAACAGAAACAAAAAACATGTTTGGTTATCATTGTTTTTAATTTATTTTTGTAAATTTTAAATTTATTTTTATATAAATAGTCTATATATTTTTAATAAATATATTGAAATTTGAACACACAAACACACACACACATATATATATATATATATATAACCAAGTGTAATTACAGAAGCAACTACTTCAGCGAAATTGTAGAATGTTAGTTCTAATAACTGAACTAATAATTTCAACCATTTTGCATATTATCTTGATCTGAAACTACACTTCAAGTTATTTGAAATTTTAGTAGTTTGTTCATTTGGTGATGATTGTCCAAAAGTTTGTATTTCACTCATTTTGCGCATTAGCGAAAGAAGAAGAAAAAATACTACACAGCTCTGATAAGAATTTTCAGCTCTTGTAAGTCTGCACTGGTGGGAATTCAACTCCAAAATACAGACTCGCGCCTTCTCTTCAATAAGGAAATGTAAACCCCCACCAAATTACAAAGACATATTTTTGACTTAAAAAAAAGGAAGTTGCCCCTTAAACTTGGGTACATACTCGCAATTTCGCGTGTAAGACATCACTAAATTTCTACTTGGGCTCCCAGAAGATTATATCACCTTGTTCCCTAAACAGACCAAGGTCCTTTAGCCGCCTTTCTTGATAATACTCCAACTCATCCAATTCCAACTCTTCTCATTGAAAATCTCATCAATTTGTTGCAACACCTTCTTCTCCCCAAGTCTTATCCCAACAGCAATTTCAAGTCTAGGATCAAGATTCCCTCCTTCCATCAACTTCTCATCCTGAAATCCACATTTTCAATTAGTTACTAACAACTTAGAGCTATTGGATGTCAAAGTGGGAAAAAAAAAACATTATACAATCCTATTCTAAACTGTAAAATACAGTATAAAAAAATAAAAATAAAATAAATCACGCAAATGACATATATAAATGGTATATTATACGGGATTCCACTCAAGTACTCAACCGATCTCATATCCAGCCTAAGTTGAGTCAATTGGATGATCATATCTATCAGTTTACCTGTATTTAGTGCTTCATCACTTTAACCTACTCAAATTGCATATTTAACAGATAGAAATGTACCTCTTCTATGGTTGTATGATAAGCAGAAAGAGCATATTTGCAGGCACTTCGTACCACTTTGCATATGAGCTCCTCATTGGCACGACTAACAGGTACTTCAAGGTGGCCCCAAACAACGTTTCTAAAAAGAGCTTCTAAGAGGAAAGCATCGGTTCCCCCAAGTGCTACCAGCCGCAGATACGGAAGCATTGCTCGAGGAAGTGGCTGGCCCAAAATTATGTCGAAGTATGCAGTTTCACCCAGACCATTTGACTCAGCTATGTCCAGTTTGTCACCGAAAAATGGGTCTGACTCGGATATATTTAGTGTGAGGGTATATGCGTTGCGATCTAACCTTGATTCTATGAATCCATAGTCCAGAGCTAACTCGGCATTGCTCTTATTCAAATCATATTGGATCAAAACCTGTAAGAAAATTCATTTGCTCATCACATACAAGGTGTTTAAACAATCATTTTTCACCAACGTTCCAAAGACAAAATCATGGAATGCTGGGTGTTAATCAGGCATTTTTCATTAAGCTCTTCAATAATTTCATCAGGAAAGGTTAGCATCCATGTCAAATAGGCAAAAAGCACATATATCAAAATTTATGGATATCAATGATTCACGAAATTTCTGCACCATAAATAGCTTTATTTGTAGTGCAGGTATGCATTTACTTTTTTGGTTCTATTACTAGATTCATAAAATAAGTAATATCAGAAAGGATATGTTACCTGCTCACCAGCCTTGACTGAAACTGGGCTCTGTAAAGAAAATAATAAATCCCTAGAGAAAAGACCTGCTCCTTTAATCTCCCAAGCATAATCTTCAGTTGTTATGCTCTAGCTATGGTTTATCTGATCCATACGTCAGGCTTGTAGAAAAATAAAATTTCAAGTTGAAGGCAATAAAACTCAGAATCACATGAAAATGAAACAACACTGCAATACTCTTTCTTTATCTGATAGTAAACATATCCAGTATATAGAGGGCTAATTCTGAATAGTTACAACAGGTTTCAAGATCATAGACCAGTAACCTTATTGCCTAATTAAAAATCCGGGTGTTGGAGAACTGATGCCAGGCAAATCCAGAAGATCTATTTGTTACTTTGTAGAAAATTAAGAAATAGAAATTAAAAAGGCATAGCATCAAAACTGATATTTAATTTGATACTAAATCGTAATTTATGATATGTTTGCCAAGATATTCTCAACTCAGTCACTGTGATATCAAAAATATACTGACACTATAACTAGAGAACTCGAACCCTTTGTTATACATTTTTCATTTCTTTAAAAACAAGTCAGAGTTACTGCTGCTGAAAACTATCATGAAGAAAGAAAATGATCTTACCAAGTCTGCAAGAGGTATCAAAACAAGATTTTGACCACGAAGGCGAGAAAATGCCCTTGACCTCAGTATCCCAAATGCCCAGAGGAAGTCCTCCAATGTTATAGGAAAAAGGAAAAGCTGTTTATTTTGGGAGTATGACTTCCTTTTTCACTTTCTGAAATTCACTCAGTATATATTTTATCACACCCAATGTTGTGCTCAATAGTTCGGTTCCTGCATAAGCTCAATTCAATGAAAATTTCATCTAGGGCGGTGAGAAAATAGGCAACAAAAAGTCTAAGTATATAAACCGCCAAAAACTATGCTTCTCTTGTGGCCTCTTCATTGTATTTTGAATTCCCCAAGGGTACACCAGAAATTCAGCAAGATGCCTTTTTTTCTAATCAACCCAAAAGAAAGTTCACATAAAGCATTTCTTGTTACAGCATATTCTTGTAGAATACTTTTGCTTTATATTGATATTGCACAACTTATTTACTTTGGAAGTTGCGGATCACTGACGGGTTATAATGTCACTTTTAAAAGAACACCTGGTAAGATGAAAAAATTTAACCCTAATATAAATTATAAGAGAGCTTCTAGCAACAATCATGATTCTCTCGAGCACTTTTCAAATAACAAAGTTTGAGATTATGAAAATATGAGTACCTAATGCAAAAAAGTCTCCACCCCAACTAGATAATGTAGTATATAGCTAACGGTAATGCTAAAGACCTTATGTAAATTAATTTTCATGAACAATTGAATGCATTTACATCACACCACTAAACATTAGCACCAGATTTATACAAATCAATGCCCGTCCAATGAGCCAATCAAAGTAGCTCATACAGAAAAAGACCAAGACTAATTCCATTTATTGAATTTCAATTTCAAAACTTTTTTACACCAAAGTTCATATAATGCCACATCAACAACAAATGAAAAAGAATATATGGTATGAAACAAAAATTGTACACAATTTTCAAAAGGACAACGCTTAAGCGAGGAAGAACTCTAACCTTGAATCTCGGAAAGTTCCTTTTCTGACCTGCACTGGAAGAGCATCAAATAACACTTATCAACACCAAAATTTAATGGCTATAGAAAACAGAAAATACCAACAAACGAATAAAGAATAAACAAGCAAATTTGAAAACATAAATTCAGATATTAAAAAATGAATCACAAGAGAAAAAAACCAAACTAAGCAATGCACATCAGTATATAACATAAAACCCCCCAAAATAAAGTCATACCCACCAATATATAAAAGAATTTGCCAACAATAGATTGATAAACCCATTAAAGACTATAAGAACTCTGAAAAAAGAAAAAAAAAAAAAAATTATAGCATAATATGAGAATTAACTTCATAAAAACATTTGAATGAATAAAACATGAACCCAACAACCAAATCAAGTCAAACCCACCAATATATGGTTGAATCCGTGT